CAAGTATATGTCGGGTCGTTGTCACGTCTGTATGAGGCGCTGTCCATCGAGGCCTCGAAGACCACTACAGCCGAGGAGATCGTGGACTGCATTGCCGACAAACTGCTCATCAAAGACGGCGTGTGCTATGAGTTGGCAGAAGTGATGGCCGACGGAGACGGCGGACAGGACTGTAAGGAGCGCCGACTCGGGCCGCAAGAGTTCCCCGTCTCTCTACAACTGCTGTGGCCGAAGCGGGAGGGCTCGCACGCCAAGGGAGGGGTGGGAGGCGTCGGAGGGCTCGTTTCGGCTCAGAACTACAAGTTTTGTTTGAGACGAAAGATGCAGACAATGAACTGGTCGTGGAGTTGGACCGACTCTAACGATAAGCTGATTCGCGACTATTTCCTGCGTTTCCTGTATCAGCCGCGCGACAGAGAGTACCCCGACTTGTGTCAACTCCCGGACCTCACGGAACAGACACTACTCGAGAATCTGAAGGTATGTCCGAAATGCACACCATTTGTCACATTATATGAGTATTACATTTATAACAAGCCTTTCATATAATATAATGAAATAGTGATCGGAAATCCGTCGTTCAATATATTGTTTAGATTTAATACTATTATTAATTGAATCGATGTTTACATATGATTATAATTACTGACAATATTGTTAATATTGTTAGTGCTTAACATTTATTATTATCATTTATACGCTTTTTATATATTATTTTATCAACACTTTATAAATTAGAATCTGTTATATAAATAATTTTAATTAATGACTAATAAATTATGAATTAATACCAACGCATCATTCAACCAAATATACATACAATTAATTAAATAATTTATTTAAATAATTATACTTTCTTAACGAATATCTTGAATTTGAAACAAGTTATTGACAATGAAATGAGTGTTAGTTTAAGTTAGAGTTTAGTTAAATAGTAAAATTTAATAAAATAACATTACCGGTGAATACTCTATTGTTTAATATAACCATGGCTTGAACTACTGTATACTGGCATTGAATAACCATGTTTATTTTGTTGACAGGCTCGTTTTGACAAAGGACACATATACACATACGTGGGCTCAATATTAATAGCTGTTAATCCGTTCAAATTCTATCCCATATATAATCCAAAGTATGTACAGTTATATCAAAGTCGACGTTTGGGTGAACTCCCGCCCCATATCTTTGCCATCGCCGACGCCGCCTATCAGGTATTCTCTCTCTCTCTCTCTCTCTCTCTCTCTCTCTCTCGGAGAATATCTAATGAAGTGTTGATGCGATAATTTAGGCGATGCTTAGAAAGCGGTCGAATCAGTGTATTGTGATCAGTGGTGAGTCGGGTTCGGGCAAAACGGAGTCCACGAACCTATTGCTGCACCACTTGACGGCTCTGTCCCAGAAGGGCACTCATGGGTCGGGTGTGGAGCAGACCATTCTGGGCGCCGGACCAGTGCTGGAGGCGTTCGGAAATGCCAAAACCAAACACAACAACAACTCATCTCGGTTTGGCAAATTCATCCAGGTCAATTACAAGGAGAACGGCGCTGTTCACGGAGCTGTCGTCCAAAAGTACCTGTTGGAAAAGTCACGTATAGTGAGTCAAGTGAAAAGTGAACGCAATTATCACGTGTTCTATTACCTGTTGGCCGGCGCCACTCCCATAGATAAAGAGGTAAACTATTGTTTTTGTCATTTATTTACTTTACATAACAAGTGTTTATTTGCTATTTCTTACGATTGTCTGCATTGTTAGGAACCACTCGATCAGACAAATAGTTAGTTCATTATACTCTTACAATTCTGTATACCGGTATATTGTATTTATCATGCTCAATCATACCATCAGCATTATTAATTGTTGATTGTTTTCCAAAATAATTCAAATTTCATATTCAATTTAATGCTTATTATTTGATTAAATTTAAATTGAATTGAATAAAGTAAAATTAAATTAAACTTCCATGTGCTTTCTATTAGATATTGTACAGTATATTAGTAACATTTGTTTGGAATTGCCATGAATTCACGAAACTTTTAAGTTAATAGTTTTTCATTACATTTAACCATATAGTAATTTTTACTATTATATAAACGCGGCTTATCTACTATTTATATATAAACTCTAATTGTTTGATATACTTATTACGACACGTTTTTCTGTTTCAAATAATTATATTTTTCTTTGTGAATTAAATTATATATGAATGAATAGTAATCATTTCACATTGTGCGTGAGAGTGAGAAAGATTCGTGAAAACAATGTATAATAAAAAGCATTATATAATTACAGTATATTCATGCAAATGAATAATACAAATGTCAGAAATATAAGTGAAAACAAACTTTAAGAGAGAGAGAGAGAGAGAGAGAGAGAAATGTCTAGTATACTTTAAATAGAATAAATTTGCAGACAAATAGAAATATAAGATTCTTGAAAAAGCTGATGGATTGCGAGATATATAATATATATTTCATACATTGAAGAGATGTATGAAAACACAGGAAATGTGTTGAGGACTTAAAGATTGAGTGCTCGACAGGAAACTAAATCTGTGATCATTAATATTCGCAACAAATTTTGGTACATGTGTTGTGTCCACACATAAAACTCTAGCCATGAAAACAATACTCTTTATATAGAGGATATAATACACGAATCCTACACTACTCTACACGAAACCAATACTAACTAAAAATTCACAATAATTAAACATTTCATGTTTTAACCACAATTCGTATATGAAGAATGTGGTTAATAGGATCGTTCGGCCCCTCCCCCTTCCTATGGGATTTAACATGGGATACCATGTTAATCCTATGGTTATACTTTAACATGGGGAGACTCTCATAGGTTTAACATGGGTTTCTATGGGATTATAAATGAAGTCTATGACATAAGATTAACATGAGTAATGCTAAATCTATGGCAAGTCTATTGTACTTATATTAAGTAAATATGTAGATAATGCTAATCTATTTTAATTTTAATACCCTAATTGTGGTTAACGTATAGCATCACTGTGTGTGAGTTGTTTCCCAATTTATTCAATATTCTTATGTACTTTTAAATTATTTATATTTCGTATTATTTGTATAATGAAATTTACTAAATCATATAATTGATAAAATTGCTGACATTAATATAATATAAATGTCAGCAATTTTATCAATTAATATTATATTAATTAATATATTACGGTACACATTAAAATTTATTAAAATCATAATATTATTAATGATATAAATAATTATTCTACAGTATTTATTACATGTATTCGAGGAATAGATAAAGTGATAACAAAAAATGCACATTTAATATCATATTATGATATAATAAAGTGATGAATACTAACCCTTGGGTGTCACGTGATTAACTACTTTAAGTGGTAAGTAATCACTTGCGGGACAATTTAATTGTGAGACAGGAATGCCATTAATAGTGGTTATTATATTCACATTCAACACTATTTGCAACAAAACAATAATTGAAAACCATTTCACTATAGATAACAATTTCATTGAATATGTGTTTAATTTATATAACGTTGAGAATAACATGACTAATAAAATGTTTACTTAAATTAACGCAACAATTAATGACTGGATTAACGAATTGTATTTAATAGTTAATAAAACAAATGACTTAATTAAATATAAAATATGATAAATTGCACATATCTTCGAGTATCTTACATCAACAAATTATACAATATAATTGTTAATTTAATTACATATTATATATATGTTAAACATGCTTGATCAAAATTTTTATATTGTTTCAAATAATTTTTTAAAATTTTATATAAAATTCAAAACATATTGATTTTAATTATTGTACAAGAATATCAATATAAATTGTTGTAATATTTACACGACTTTATTATTTTGTGCACCAATGGCTTTATTAATGCAATGTATTTCAGTCAATGTAGTTGTAAATTTATTTACCATATTTATTTATTTTAAATGTCAATTATTATGTTCATTTACATAATTAATATGTATGTTATTTATATAAATAAATAATATCTGATATATTATACAAATGTATTTTAAATAGAGATATTTTCTGTAGTGAGCTTTGACTGAAATAAGTTAAATGCACATGAGACAATGTACAATATAGTACGTTATGTAAAGTACAGTGTACAATGTACAGCATATTAATTTATCAATATTAGGTAACACTCGTCATATAATTTAATAATCTAAATTTATAGCATTTAAATTGTAATAAATGCTATGTTGCTATAAATTACAATTTTAATATTTGTTTTGGAATACAACTATACATAATAACGTTATTATGCATAGTTGCATTCCAAAACAATATTCCCCCAATAGTTAATAAAATTAGTACCTAGTAAATTTACTTTAAATATACCGCTAAATATATTACATAAACAAAGTATAACTAATATAAAATAGTAAACTATCGGTAATACTTTTAATAACAAAATGAATATAATTTATGTATGTAGTTTTTGTTTGTTTATATTGCCTTATACTATATATAAGGCTTATAGTATAAGGCTTATACCATATCGGTAAAAGGAATAAATTAACTTTTAAATAAATTTAATTAATTAATGACAAAGGTGCTTTTCAGTTGCATAAAATTAAACTGTTTATACTTTTAACAATTAAATTCTGGCGTACATTCAAATCGAAATTAAGCTGATTTTAAGATTTAAACTGAGATTAAACCTATTTATAAATGTGTGAAAAACAAATACAACAAAACTGAAAATATCTCCTCGTTAGTTTTATTATTAAAATTTAGACATTCATTCTACAATCATTTACTCTTAACAAAGCTAGGTGAATACTTGACTTATAAATGCAGTCACAACACATAAAATAATTTATCAATTGTAATAATTTCAATAATAAAATATATTCAACATTTAATTATATAATTAATGTAAAATAGCTTAAGAATGTAAGCGATAATACATATTATGTAAGTTTTTCTATTAAAATATTTGTAGTAAAGCCTGAATAGCATTAGTGCCAACAAAATAAGCTTATTTTTACATTCATTGCCGACTTAAAGGGATTCAAATACAACTCATTTGAATGGCAAATGTAGTGACAGACGACTTAATAAAACACATTATTGTGTATACAATCACTTAATTTAGTACCAAAATCATGGCAACAGCTGACTATTATCTGCTCCGACATAACAACATATTTTCCCACATCTATAGACTTTACATCTAATTATAACTTCTAATTTATAACTGTTATACAGTATAACAAAAAAGTTACTATTTTTAAACAAAACTTTTCCCTCATATCAACACGATTTGGTCAATTATTAGTTTTAAGTTCATGTTGGTACATTTTTTAAATTTAATTTGGTATTAAATAGTTATACAAAATATATTTATTATGCTGGTTAAATAGATACAAATAACCATTTTTAACATGGTAAAACAAAAATGGAACATTAATATACAATGGAAATTCCATTATGGAATATTAATATGTACAAGTATATGTCAATTGGACCAAGTTGCATTAAATGACGTAAGTTGTGTGCCTCAGAATTTACATTGACAACTAGCGTGAATTAAAATTACCTTTTTGGTATAAATTACATTCAGGTAAATTTACCGGTAATAATTACCTAGTGTTACCCACAAAAAGCTGGGTGATGATGGCGTTAGGAAGAAATGTCCAAAAATATTTAAAAAAAATGTGGGGTAAACACTTATAATAACCACATTGATAAATTACATAAATGCATTCAAAAATAAATTACATAAATTTACCCTAAAATTACGGTAATTAAAGGTAATTTATATAACTTACTTAAATGTCCTGCACGCTATTGACAACAATGTTTAAGAGTGTGTGTATGGTATGGGAGCGCCGCCACATGCAGTGTGTGTTGTGTTGTGCAGTAGTGTTGTAGTGTTGGTACAGTACATGTGATACCAGATAGCAGTTGTTTGGCTAAAAGGGTATCTGCCGTCCCATCGCTGAGCCCTGCATTCGTATTGCATTCATAGGATTGACTCGATATGAGTGGAGTCTGTGAGCAATGGATGTGTTGAATGTGTTGTGTTGTGCATCGATTGGCAGCACTACTGCCACAACAGTAATGGCATAACTCTAACACATCATAATATTTGGTGATTATTAGGTGAAAAATGGCCGAAAGATATGTACTTCAAGTATATGTCGGGTCGTTGTCACGTCTGTATGAGGCGCTGTCCATCGAGGCCTCGAAGACCACTACAGCCGAGGAGATCGTGGACTGCATTGCCGACAAACTGCTCATCAAAGACGGCGTGTGCT